GCTTGGCCTGCTGTGTTCATCCAGCCCTGCACCTTGTTGTCTGAGTGGTAACAAACAGTTGTTTTTCAGACTGGAGGTCTGTGACCAGCGATCAGTACTGGGTCCACTTATGTTTGTCATTTATATAAGCAATTTGGATGAGAATTTAGGAGGCATTGTTAGTACGTTTGCAGATGACACCAAAATTGGTGAAACAGTGGACAGTGAAGAAGGTTATCGAAGATTACAAAGAGATTTTGATCAATTAAGTCGATGGGCTGAGTGGCTGATGGAGTTTAACTTGGATAAATGCAGAGTATTGCATTTTGGTAAAACAAACAAAGGCATGACTTATACAGCTAATGGTAGGGCACTGGGTAGTGCTGTAGAACAGAGACACTTCAGGGTTCGGGTACATAATTCTTTGAAATTTGCATCACAGATAGACTGGGTGGTTACAAAGGCATTTAACATGTCTGCTTTCATCGCTCAGGCCTTTGAGTATAGGACTTGGGATGTCATGTTGAGGATGCACAGGACGTTGGTGAGGCCTCTTCCGGAGTACTGTGTGCAGTTCTGGTCGCCGTGCTATAGGAAAGATATTATTAAATTGGTGAGGGTTCAGAAAAGATTTACCAGGCCATTGTGAGGAATGGAGGATTTGTGTAATAGAAATACACTATAAAGGTTACCCCTCACCTCAGAGAATTATAAAATCATGAGGGCCATAGATAAGGTGAATAGCAACGGATTTTTAAATAGGGTGGCGAGTTCAAAACTAAGGGGCAAATTTTCAGGATGAGAGGAGAAAGTTTTAAAAAAGAATGAGGGTCAACTTTTTTTTAAAAACAGAGTGGTTCGTGTGTGGAATGACCTGTCAGAGGAAGTGGTGGTTGCAGGTACAGTTACAACATTTAAAAGACATTTGGATAAGATCATGAATAGGAATGGTTTGGAGGAATATGGGCCAAATGCAGGTAAGGTGGGACTAGTTTAGTTTGAGGACAAGTTTGGCGTGGACTAGTTGGGCCAAAGGGGCATGTTTCCATGCTGTATGACTCTATTTAGGACATAAAAGAAATAGGAATAACATATACCAACGCTACTTCCTTCACGAATAAATAAGATCATAACTGATCTCTAATTTCTACTCTCTTCATATTCCCATTTCCTTTAATTTGATTTATAGTCCAAAATGCTGTCAGTATACTCAATGGATGGAGAATTGCAAAGATGCACAAACCAAAAGAAATTTCTCCACACCTCATTCTTCCTAGTTCTAGACTAACCAACCATGGGAAGTAGTGTCTCTGCACTTACCACGTCAAGTTACCTTTATCGTTTACAAAATTGCTTATTTAATAGGGTCCTGTGGCACAGTAATGGCATGCCTTTCTCTGAGCCAGATGGCTTGGGTTTAAGTCCCACCTGACCCAGAGGTGTATCATATCATGTCCACCACATCAGGTTCTCTCATAATATCACATTTCAATGAGGTCAACTCCAATTACTAAACACCAGAGTAAGAGTGTTCAGAGAAGATTTACCAGGATGTTGCCAAGTATGGAAGGTTTGAGTTATAAAGAAAGGCTGGATAGGCTGGGACATTTTATACTGGAGGGTAGGAGGTTGTGAGCCGACCTTATAGAAGTTTATATAATGAGGGGTATAGGTAGAGTTAATAGTAGTTGTCTTTTCCCTAGGATGGGGGATTTCAAGACTAGAGGGCACATTTTTAGGGTGAAAGGGTGAAAGACACGAGGGGCAATGTTTTTACACAGAGGTTGGTTCGCATGTGGAATGAACTTCCTGAGGCATTGGTGAATGTGGGTACGTCGGCATGGACTGGTTGGACCGAAGGGTCTGTTTCTGTGCTGTATGACTCTATAGGCCCATTCTGCTGTCTCCCCTCATAGTACAATCAACTGAATCTTCATTGTGCCCTGACAGACAAGGGTGTAAAAGGGTATAGGGATAGACAGGAATGTAGAGTTGACCCCACAATTAGATCAACCCCGATCTTATCGAATGGCAGAGTAGGCTCGAAGGGTCAAATGGCCTACTCCCGCTTCTAATTCGTACATTTTTATGTCCAAGGCAAATTCTTCTAGACACGGAAAGCAAAACTGTTCAGTCTTCCAGATGTAGGTCTCACCAAAGCTCGGTATGTGACTTCTTTGCTTTTCTCATAGAAACCTATAAAATTCTAACAGGACTACACAGGATGGATGTTCCTGATGACCAGGAAGTCCAGAACCAGGTGTCACAATTTAAGGACAAGGGTAGGTCATTTACAACGGCGTGTGGTGAGGCTGGGGAATTCTCTGCCACAGACTGTAGTTGAGACCAAAATATTTAATGTTTTGTGAGTTAGATATAGTTCTTAGGGCTAAAGGAATCAAAGGGTATGGGGAGAAAGTGGAAACAGGGTTTTGTGCTGAAAGGTGGAGCAGGATCAAAGGGCTGATTGGCCTATCTGCTTCTGCTCCTATTTTCTATGTTTCTACATAGCAATAGCCATGCCAAAAAAAGCTTGTTAACTTCTTGCTTTACCTATATGTTAATTTTCTGTACTAGTTGTATAAGCACACCCACATTCCTCTGAACATCAAATATTAATAGGTTCTAATTGAAAACTATTGATTTTCTATTCTTCCTACTGAAGTGAACAACCTTATTTCCTATCATTACACCGCACCCCCCTGCCAACTCAGTTAAAAATATAAAATGTCTTTGCAGGTTATATCCTCTTCCCAGCTTACTTTCTCACCTAGTTCCTTATCGACAAAACTGATAAGGTTACACTCAGATCCTTCAACCAAATTACTGATAATCAATGGTAAATAATGGGATCTCTGAAATTCAGGACTTTTCTAGTTATTGCTTGCCAACCTGAGACCTAGCTCTAACCTTCAGGATTCAAGAGTTCAATAATTGAGCACCTTTTCCCATATCCTTACCCCAAACCCCATACACCAAAGCCTTGTCATCATTTAGGCTGCTACCACAGCCAACCCAGTGTCAGCTAATGGTCCCTCACTCCATCTCCACTTATCATTTACTCCTCCCCCAGTCCTATCTTCAGCATATAGGCTAACCTTTTCCCAGCTAATTACTTCTGAAGAAGGGTCACTGGACTCAAAACTTTGACTCTGCTTTCTCTCCATAGAGGCTGCCAGACCTGCTGAGTTTTTCCAGTGATTTCTGCTTTTGTTTCTGATTTCCAGCAACCACAGTTCTTTTGGGTTTTATTTTAAAAATCTATTCATTGCTACTCCATTTTCTGCCCTTTAAATCAACCTTCACCAATTCTAATACATTAGTCCAATCTCAAGAGCGTTTATAATAAATGCGAAGTACTGCAGAAATTGGAGATCTGAAAAAAAATTAGAAAGCAGAGAAACTCAGCACATCAAGAGCTTATACCTTGTGCAGCCCTTTTTATGTGACATCTTATTGAATCCTTTTAGAAATCTAAATATGCCTGGGCTGGAACAATTCAGCTATGCACAGACCAGATAGGCTGGAGTTGTCCTCCTTAGAGGAGAGAAGACTGAGGGGAGGGATCTGATCAAAGTGTACAAAGTTCTGAGGGGCACAGATGGGGAGAAACTTTTCCCCTTAATAGAGGGGTCAATAACGAGGGGGCAGTTTTAAGGTTAGGAGCAGGAAGCTTAGAGTGGATTTGAGGATTTCTTTTTCACCTAGAGGGTTGTGGGTATTTAGAACAGAATGTCTAAAAGGGTGTTAGAGACCAGAAACCTCAAGTAACTTAAAAAACTATATAGCTGAACAGTTGAAACTCGATTATATACTAGGCCACAAGCTAAATGCTGGAAAATGGGATTAAAATAGATCATATTTGATGACTGGTGTAGACACAATAGACCTCTTTCCATGTTGTAAAATCTCTATGGCTAAGAAGTTGAAATCTAACCTGGTGTTCAGAATAATATCTATCCCTCTATGAACATTCCTACAACTGATTATCTAGTCACTAACACATTTTTGTTGTGGAACCTTGCTATGTGCAAATTGGCTGCTGCATTTCAAAAATGACTTTGAAAATAACATGTTGACTATAAAAATGCTCTGGGGCATTCCAAGGTTGTGAAAGGTTATAGAAAATGTTTTCCTTTTAGAAGTAAGCGGGTTTCAGCAATGTCCACATGCATGCATAACACAAGAACTTGAAAGCAGATTGTCACTATTCTGTGATGAATTAATCTGAAACCTAACTCCAGTAGTAACATAGTGCACGCAAAAGACCTGTAATTCCAATGACAGGGCAATCCCAGGAGAGTGAAATTCTCATCTGTAGGAAAGGTTGAACTAGGTAATAGACAAGTTAAAAACAAACTGCTCGACAATGCTCCATTGCCACCCCTCCCCCATTCAAACTGTAACTTCATTTCAGAACATAGTACTTGCGTGCAGGACCATTGATGATGCCTGTAATTGATTACCGTCACGAAGATCAACCTGTCAACAATCTATCTTGAAGCCCTTCTCCCTCTACTTTATCATTGAAGAATCATCGCTTAGAAGCACACCATTTCTACGCCTTATCACCAACATTTATTTTTCCATTGAAAGGAACATTTCATCCCATGGATTTAAGAGGAAATTAGGCCATCACTCGTTTTAGCAGGCAAGCCAGATTTCAACACCCATAACAGAAGGAAAGTTACCCATCACACAGACTCAGATAAGATAGAAAGTGCCACGTGTGATGGAGATATTTCTTTGATTCAGACTTGAATCAATTGCTTCACCAAAACAAAAAGCCCAACCGCCGTTACCCCACACCGTTACTGTTACAACCCAGGTCAATGTTGAAAAACAGAAACTTACAAATAACATGAAACGTGATCAAGCCATCATCCTGTTTTCCGGGAGAGCAAGTTTGAAAAGCAGACGGCTGTAGAGTTTTTGAATATTAATTCAGGGTGAGGAGTCAGAGGTTTGCGCGAAGGCACTGAAACAACGACGGGCTTCCCTTGGCCTCGGAGAGAGGAAAGGCAGGAAAGGCGCCGGGCCTTCTCACGACATCATCACGGCCGGGCAACCCGACCTTTTCAGAGGCATAGTCACCCCGGACGGACACTAACGTTCGGCTTTTCGCGAAAGGCACGGACGGAGAAACGGCCACCGTTCCGCGGATAATTTGAGGAGACAGAAACTTCCCCTCATCACTTCCTACTGCGCCGGGCAGCCAGCTTTCCGTCTGCGCATTACCTCATCAAACCTTGCGGTCAGACAACAGTGACGCCATGACGTTGGTAACACGAGGCCACACCGCCGCGAGGAGGGGGCGGGGAGAGGTGGAGGGCCAACGCATGCGCGGAAGGCGTTGGAGCCGATCGGAGCTGTCCGGGTCGATATGCCCGGTCCGGCGGAATTGCGCATGCGCATTTCCATCAGCTGTCCGGCGGCGATGAGGGAAATGCGCGTGCGCAGGTCGAGGACAGGCGTGAACCTGGAACCTGGATTGGTGGGCGCGCACGGCGCGTTTTGGTGAGCGGTCGGAGCTGCGCGCGTTTGCGGGCAGACGCGGCGTCGCGCTCTGGCTTTGGGATTGGGGGAAGGTTGAGCGGGGTAGAGGGCAAAGGGAAGGAGATGCGCGCGCGTGCGTGCCGCTCCTGGCCTGGTGAGTGATACGCATGCGCAGTGCTGGGGCTCGTGTGGTTTTCCGTTGGGATCTCAGTTTCGCGGTGTCTCCCCGGCACCCTTCTCCCGTGAATCGGTGGTGACACCGCCGCTTGTATGCTCTCTCTAAAGTTCGGTATATTCCGCTTCTTTATCCATCCCAGTTCTCTGGTAACGACCGAACGCAAAACAGAAAATAGTAGTTTTATTTTGTTTTCCGGCGGGTGGCTCGGTCTCCATCCAACGTGAGGTCACCCGACAGCAGAGAAATTACTTCACGTCTTTATTTTATCTTCTTTTATTTAAAAACCCACAAACCAGAAAGACGGCGAGCTGTCGTGATGGACGAATGGTCGGTGTGACGGGCGGCTGAATGTTTGGAGAGTGAGCTGCGGCTGGATGCTTCATCTTAAAAAGGTGAGGCCCTCCCCTTCTCCCTGTGTCCTGATATCATCACCTTGTGGCTGGGTAGTTTTTGTGGGGTTTGGTAAGGGCTGGGGAAGAAAAGAAACGAGTCGTTCGCTCGAGCGTTTTGCCTTCTTTTTCTTTCTGCATCAGTCATGAATTTCTAGAGACAGCTCTCGGCTTTTGAACCTGGGCCGTGGGGAGATACACCCCAATTGCTGAATAAAACTTTTTAAATACAATCCCTACAGTGTGGAAACAGGCTATTCGGCCCAGAGAGTCCATACTGACCCTCCGAAGAGCATGCCACCCCGGCCCATACCCTATCCCTGTGGCCCTGTATTTCCCATGGCTGACGGAACTAATCAGCACATCCCTGAACACTATGGGCAATTTAGCTTGGCTAATCCATCTAACTTGCACATCTTTGGACTATCGATATTTCTGTCAGATGATACATACCAGCCCTGCTTTCTTGCGTTTTTCATTGATGCGTAATAAGAAAAATCTCCTGTAATACAAATTGTTCTTCCTTTTGAAATTTGGTACCTAGTCCCTCTCCTGACGAATGCAAGGCAAAATGTTTAGTCGGAGATAGTAGGAACTGCAGATGCTGGAGAATCCGAGACAACAAGGTGCAG